ACACACACACACACACACACACACACACACAAACACACCACAGGCATGTCTATATCCTCTAATTAAATTAAAATAAAACGAGCTTGTTGGTCGTCATGTTTGAAGCTAACTCCATCAATAACGCCGAAAACTGAAACAAATTTCAAATAAGAGCTAAAGACAAACGGCAGAGGAAAGTACAATAACATCAGTTGGAGCTATAACATTAATTTATTAGGGGCATTATATTATCAACAATAACAATACGTATTATACTATGTGTGTGTATTTAACACACTATTAACTGAACGTTACCGTTTATTAAAAAAAAAAATCGTTTAAACTGTTAATTTACAAATCATATTAATAAAAATATTTGTGCATGGTTTTGTCAAACGGAAAAAAAACAAATTCGGTTAATTCTTATCAAGCTGCCGCTGTTCGCATGAAGGATATGAAGGATACTATTAGGCTACTCAGACGTGGATTTTCACTTTAAATTAAATAATTTTGTTGGAAAAAAAACTGGAATGAATTATCCCGAGTTATCGTTACATCGACGCAGAAAGGTGTAAATGTATTTATGATAAATAATTTAGTGAGAAATGTTCCCCGAGTTTTTTAGTGAGCCAGGGTATTAGCACAATATGTTTTCAACTGTTGAGCAAAACCTTAGAATTGTATGTTGGCTAAATACCACCATTTTGGGGCGTAAAATGGTGCTGTTAAAATGGTTATGTCTCACAATGTGAATGGCCCGTGAGAGAGAGAGATAGAAAGTGAAGTAGTGATTTGTGTGTGTGTGTGTGTGTGTGTGTGTGTGTGTGTGTGTGTGTGTGTATGTGAGAGAGTGTTTATTTCAATGATAACTGCCCATCTCATATTCTCACATTAATGGAAAGGTGTTAAATGCCACAGGCACCATAACCACAAGCGAGGCTGTCAAATGCCCATACAGAGTTTGATACAGCCCATATGACTGCGATCAAACACAAGTCTGCATTATTGGGTTATGACACAACACAGCGTGCACACACTGATAGAATAAATGCACGTGTGGTAGTCTGCAAGTATTCTGTGTATGCATGTGTATGTTTGCATGCATCAATGTGTACGCGCGTGTGTGTGTGTGCGTGCGTGTCAGGGAGGAGGAGGGGGGTGTGGGGGGGGGGTAAAGTAGTCGTCTACCTTTTAATTGCCCGTCCGGGTTATCTGAACAGCTGTCACTCTTGGCCTTCTCTTCCTTCCTGTTCTGGCTCTCATCTGTCATTGAAACCTCACTCGCTGTCTCCTGCGCCGATTTATTGCAATTTGTTGTCGATTCTGATGCTGATTCAACAGATGTCGCCAAGTGGGTCAGAGAGAAGCCGGAGGGGAACTGCTGGTCGTCCTGCTGCGGCCTCTCTCCGTTGTACACCTGGAAACAGCCGCTGGACGAGGCGGTTTGCTCAGGCCGGCAGCTATTGTCCCCAAGACGGATGTAAGTGGCCGACTCTGTTGTCTGCTTCCCCTTATTGCTGTCATCCTGATAGAGGCAACAAAACGCCTCCTCTTTGACGTTGCCCACTGGAAACGAGCAGGGTTGTAAACACTGGGCAACAGGTTGTTCGTCCCTACTGGTTTTGGAGCCCGGGGTCCATGTGGCCGGCAGGTAGGGCGCATCCTGGAAGCCGCTGAGCGGAACTCCGCCCGGAGAAACCTCGTCTCTTTTGGAGAGTGAAGCTGGTCCTGCCTTGCCAATGTTTCTCATCACTGAATATCCGTACTCTGCAGCTGAGTGGATGTATATCCCGGGGTTGCTGGAATAACCCTCACCCCTGAAGGAAGATGATCCTCCCATTAAAGAATCCATCAGGAATTTACCGGGAGCTATATTATTCGGACATGACATTTTTTTTGCATTTGGCAACACAGTGGTCGATTGGTGAGTTGCACTGCTCTGAACTACGGGATTCCTCCAGGAGAATAACGACAGTAGGATGCTGACATCTTTTGGAGGGGGTGCAAAAATATCAGTAACATAATTATGGATGCTGGGAGACATGTCATGTGATTTTCAGACCAATAGCGGCGTGGAAGTGGCCTTGATGCTCCAGACTGACGTGACGTCAGCGCGGTCAAGTTGGGGAACCTGGGGGCTTTTTGGTGGAGCAAGAGTGCCACCTAGCGATCGAACGTTAGTTATGACAGCAGGCCCACGCCAGGGGGAACAAAGGGCGGCGGCTGCAGCAGGATTTTTTTGGGCACTACGTGGCTTTTGAGTATTTTGAATCGGTTGGTTTCAGTCCAGAACTTCAGATGTTTGAAAGAATTTAGTTGATTTAGTCAAAGTGTGATTTCCTTTCGTCCTGGCACCAGCTCTGTGGAGAAGACGCAATCGAGGAGTTGCCATAAGACAGAGTTCATTTTGTGTGTGTTCTTTTTGTTTGTTTTCGTCGATTTTCTTTGTTGTTGCCACCGATTTGGCGAGGTAAGCTGTACGCAGGTGTGTTATCCAAAAGAAAATCTGAAGAGAGATGCAAACTTCTTTAAGAATTTTAAACTGGAAAAAAAATGTATAAAAAAAAAATTGTAGACGAGGATTTACTCCTTGACATTGTGAAGTAGGCTAAACATTAAAACAGTCACTTGTGCATTTGACCTACTAAACTTAAGATTGTGTGATATCTTCAGAAATGCAGATTTACAGTAACACATTTCATACAGTAATTACGAAAACCTTATGCTCCGGTCAGGTCTTTAATTTGAAACCTCAGATTATTCATTTGCATTTTTCTAGAAATTACTTTACCACTCCAGCTGAATTACACCACAATTCTTCCAAAAGCAAACATATTAGATCTTTTTAGACCAATTAGCCTAGTTAACTTGGGCCAACTCATAAAGCCGCGTGTGACAGTTAAACTAGTTATCTTTTTGAAATGAGCAACTTAAATATTAACTCTACGATGGAATTTGTTCGCTAGTGGATGGTGCCTATGAGGAGAACAGAAATGGTAACCCATACGTCAAGCATGTTTCTTTCATCTCTTAACCGTGGACACAAAACATCTTACAGCCTAATAAATAATTCATTGCATACCTGAGCTATTGTGACACACAATCCTGTTTTCGAGATGTTTCTTGTTGATTCACGGGTGCTTTCGATATGTTATCTGAAATTAACAGTCTTGGCGTTTTCGTTTTTGTTAATGTTTTTATTCTGTGTGTCAGAAGAGCTGGTGTGTGAATTAAGTGTGGCTCTCTCAACAAAGGGACTATGATGCAGAGAGACGTTCTTTTATGAAAAGAAATGTTGATTAGTCTCAATTCGCCTCTCCTCAAAACCATTCACATGTCGTGATTTGTTTAAATGTGTCTTGATCAGGTGAAAACTTAAAAATGGTATATATTAGTCAGTAGTAGCAGCCGACTCTGCTGCAGCCGAAACCAACAATGATATTTAGAAGGAAACATGATTAACACAAAATTAGTATAGGTTAAACTCGTCATAGTTACAAAACCTATTTAAAACCTCTCAATTTACATGAGAACACTAACGTCATTGTGATGTCGCATACAACTATAAAATGTACAACATTTTGTCTGCACACACGTGGTATATTGATAATCTGTTTCAGTGTGTGAAAACTTTGTAAATTAAACTTAGTTTCTAACCAAATTCAGCCCACATTGTTATTCTCATTCCGTATGAGTGTGAATCAAGTGAAAATGCACTGTTGTCTTCGTTCCGTGTTGTTTCGTATCAAGCCTGTGTTTTCTGTGCTTCAGTCAGTAGGCTAAACCTTCGGACATCAGTTCCTAACAAACCCGCAGTTGTCACAAATACTGCAAACACGTTGCTCCAGAAAGCTCACATTCTCATCCTCGCTTCAGTTAAAAAAAACGATGGGTTTCACAATTTAAAAAAATAGCATGAAGCTTGTAAAATTAATTTAATATTTTCTAAATGTATAATTTCTATAATTGCCCATTTAAAAAAATGGCCACAAATTGTTCAGCGATGCTGCGGTAATGCAAAATGCGTATATGCTATAGGCCTACAAAACCTAGGCTATATGGTTTTAGAGCTGCTATAAAACTATGTCTCATCCGCATTTTAGATTGGGTTACTAACAGATCTCTGACAAACAAGACTCCTAATGCCTTCAGCCAGTTTAAAATTCATCGTTGAAATTCTTCGCCACAGCTATGCGGTCCTTGAGTCCTCTTCGGTTTGTGCGAGATGTGCACGCATGCCTGTCCGTCTGTGTTTTCAGTTCAAAGGCAAGGGCAAGATAGGCTCTATTAGAAAGGTGTGTATTTGAACATTTGTCTGCCTTTGCATGTGTACAGTGATGTGTCAAGACGAGACAGAACATTTATTTGCACGTGACACACTGAATGAAATAAATATTTAAAATAACCAATACAGCGTCTTTGTGGTCACTCCCCAACATTCCCTACATTTATGAAAGAAATAGGACCAATCATAGCTAGATGAAAGACTTGCCTCTTCAGTTTTGTGATTTTTATATTAATTGATGATACAGGGACGGATAACGTGGTCTTACGAGTATGGGGAACATCTTGGGCTCATGAAATCCTTATAAAGCTCATAATATAAACTATAAACTGTGAGCCGTAAGGTAAAAGTTTTATGTAGTTCCTGATCATTTTACATCTTGAATGACGTTTTTCACCCACGAAGAGGAAAATCCTGGAATAAAGGAGTATTAAGGATAGTCTTACCCCACTCCATCTTTCTGTGACCCACACACCTTCTGCCTCATATAGGGACACATTAATAACCACACCTAATTAAGCCCAACTCACACCGCCAACACTAAAAAAAACTGCTTCATGACACATTCATACCTAGCCTGCAGGCTGCAACTCAGAACAACACCAAAAAAGTCATGCACATAAAAACTAATTACAACTTATCAAGGAGCACTGAGCTCTAAAGAGTGATTCCTTTTCAGATGAGTGTAAATATGCATTATGACGCCACAGACATGAGTTTGTGAATCGACAGGACTGCCGGTATTGTATTGAACGGACTTTATCATTGCACACACATTTGAGCCTGTAACAATCACAAGCAGTTGTGTATAGGGTTTACACCGTGTTATGCAACGTGCCCTCGTACAATGGTTCGTATGATATCTTTCGCAGAAGTGAGAGAAGTAAACAGTTTGTGAGAAAATAAAGTGATATGATGCTACAGACCCAGGAGTAGTGAATAACAGGATGTATAATAGAGTTGAAGAGGCGTATTATCCCTGCATTTGTAAAGCATGAGAATTAAGAACAAAACGGCGATTCAAAAAATTAAGAAAAGCCTCGACCATGTAACTTTCTGCTCGCATAATCAATTGTGCACTCTGCTGCTATTTGATGTTTATTTCACTCGTGGAAACACGAACGCAACCTTGTTTTCCAAAAGGATATTGCTACACATTTCGCAATGTTATTTGTGCCCAGGTTTAGAACCTACTGTATCGCTTTGGTCAGTTTCAAGTAATGTACGAAGTTTGCAGTGAGGACGGTTTGACATGCATCATTTGAGTTGTTTTTTTAATCACTTTTTTAAAAAACGTGTAACGGCTACATGCTGTAAACTGTGTTGGAGACCATTAAACTTTCAATAATATTCTCCCACACACTTGTACACACGGTGCTCACCAACGTGTAAACTACCCTGGGCTTTACACAGATACAACCCCCCCCCCCCCACACCAACACAACACACACACACACACACACACACACGCACACACACACGAAGTGGACTCCAACTGTATTTTAACACGGTCTTTACACTTGTCTAAACTAAAGTCAGCCTTTTCGCCACTAAATTGTCGTCCAATTGATTTCAAACATATAGGGGCTGTTATTATATTGCAAACAGGTATGGGTGTTGAATGCTGGGAGACAGAAGGCAAAGTAACTGGTTTCCTTATTGGACTAATCAGGAGCCACTGGGGCGACACAACTAATTTGCTTCTGGCAGCCACTTTGAAATATCTTTCCAGTTGGACGTGAAGAGATCCTGCTTTGTGTCCTCTTTCATGCTGCTGTCCACTCCGTGCGCAACAGCAAATTTATGGTGCCTGAATCATGTAACTTCTTAATTAAAAACCAGAGTGGTAACTGCCATCAAAGTACAGCGGTAGAACTATTACATTATTGCCACTGACGAGCACTCCAGATACACACCACCGCCATATCTGACTTAAAACTTTCTATAAATAACTGTCACACCAAACTTGGTGGCGACGATAAATTAATAGCACCGTACAAATGCGCTAATGTAAATTTAAGCGTGTTGAGAGTTATTTGGTTGCAGCAATAGCAGGAGTTCGTTTTACAGCGTCGAACTGTTTTATGGCCCTATATAGAACAGGAAAGGTGCTGAGATGTGAGTGGTACACTGTAGTATAACACCATTCAATAGCCTATAACCCCGTGATTAGTATGTGCAGAGAAGCAGGAATACTCCCATATTTACATCATGGTTAAAAACACTGACATTTTTACAAATGATTTCCTTATATCCGCAACAAAATATTTGTAAATGCTACAAAGTATCGACCTTTGCAGATTTATTTTTTCTAAATATACTGCGTTTTGTATTTTTTCCAGCTTCTTTTTGTAGATAGGTATATATATTTCCAAAACTGTTCATATTATTGGCAATATTTGTTCTTGTTTTTATGTCAATTTGTAAATACACCTACGATGTAATTCCTTATGTTGCTTTACAATTTTAGTTATTTGTGTGCCAATGGGAATAATCTCACAACTTTCAATGTACAGTATAATACACTCACACATCCATATATACACTCTCCCCTGGATTATTTGTTTATAGCCTAGTTTTATTTCAAAAATAAAATCAAGTATTAT